GTCACTCAGCTCTGAGAAGTTCCTTTGGGTTCCTTAAAAGAACCTAAACTGACTGTTGTGAGTGAGCAAAGTGTCCCTAGCCTTCAGTGCTAAAGAACCAGGGAATGGGACACAGACCCTAATGGGACCAAGGCTCAAGGCAGATGTGAGGGCCCATGGTCTGTCTTCACTGCGTCTGTTGCCCATGTCAGTCCCTGACATCCAACCACTTCTTCCTCGTCCATCCATCCTGGTGGAGCTGGGCTTAGGAGCCTCCCATGCCAGCATGAGCTGCTGAAGTTTCTCCTGCTCTGCGTATATAAGCCAAACCGCCCCTCCCCTTCACACCACAGGTCTTGTCCCTCGTGCCCAAGTCAGTACTGGGCGAACCGTTGCTCATCGTGATAACTGGGAGGTAGAAGGGACACCAGCTTTGTACTCCAAAGACCCGGGTTTGAGTCCTGCTTTTGTCCCTCTTCTATCTGATCTTGGGCAAGTCCTCTAATCCCTCTAAGCAATGGTTTCCTCCTTAAATAGGAACAATAATGCCCACCTTGTTGGGGGGGTGTAGTGGGCTGTAAGACCGTAGACCATAGAACACTCTACAGGGAAGATCATGATGGCCCGGCTCCAGATTGCATCTGGTGAGTAACCTCCTATGGGAAGCATGAAGGAAGGTCTCTTGTCTGGGGGGGTTAATCTCACTTCTGACAGCTAACCCCAGGAGAAATGGAACTGGCTGTTTCTTGGCTGGGCACTTTTGTGAAATGTTTATGCCATCCTGTGGACTCTATAGAATACAGTACTTCAGTCCCTTAGACCCCACATGAGAGCAGGGGGGTAGGGGGTGGGCAGGGCCGAGAACGGCAGAAGGTGAATGGTTGACTATGGAGATTTCTCAGAATGGTTTTTTATGTTTGGTATAGGCCAGTAAGTTTCCAGATATCTGTGTCTGTGTTTTGTATGTAAATAGGTCTTTTATTTATCAAGGGGCTCTAGACTAAGCCCAGGCTGCAGCAGCTCGGTCCTGGGTCAGGCATCCAGAGATGGGGTTAAAACTGACCAATAAAACTCCTTAATAAATTTCTGGCCATGTTTGCTTCCTAGGAGCAGGGACAACGGGATATTCGATCTGAAATACGATTTGCTCCCCTTGAGTGGGGTAGTGATGGGGAAGAGAGTTTGAGGGGGTGGGGAGCGACCTTCACCCATTTAAGAGGGAAACAAGAGTGTCCTGGGATTTGCCCTGGAGTCACAAGGTGGCAGTATGGAGCTGAAAGTGAGTCTAAAGCGACCTGACTGACCTCCCAGGGAAGGCTGGGAAAGTCACTCAGCGTCTCAGCTCTAATACCTACTACCTTTCCCTACAGTTCTGGAGTCTTGGCTCCTCCATTTGACCCAGTTCTCCAGAAATAACCTGGACACATGCTTCTTTCTCTCTAAGCTCATGGAGGATGTATTTGTCAAGAAAGGGCAAAGAACAAGGGCAAGGTGAGGGACTGAGTGTAGAAATTTTTGCCTGAAAAGATGAGTGTTTGAGAGAGCGAGTGGGACCTCAAAAACACTGATGAGCTGGAGTTATTATAATGTGTTCAGTTTAGAGGCCGGGGCTTGGAGTAGGAGGCCTTTTGAGAGCCCCTCTGAGCCCAGAAGTGTGTCCTGATCCCGGGAGCAAAAAGCCCACTCATGGTGGGCATAAAACACCTCCTTACCCTAACGGGTCTTGTTGGCCAATAATCGAGCACCACTCACGGAGTTCTGTTGCGGTTCCAGTGGGCACTTGGATGCTGGCTCCTTTAGACCAAGACTCCGTTGGCCACAGGTCACATTTATTCTGGTCCACCATAGAGTCCCAGTTCCTTACTGGCACGTAATCAACCATCTACTTGTCACCAGTAGCAAACCAGTTTCTCTGTATCTTGTAAGATAAATCTGAAGAGATTTTTATCCAGTCCACACTCACGGGGGAATCCAGAGTGGGGCAGCATGGCCATTCCCTGGATGTTCCGATGGCGTACAACGTGGGAGAAAGTGACTTCATTTTGCTGAACACTGAGCTCCTCAAAAGGTGATTATTCATACAGGAGACCATTCATACAGATTTCCACAGCTGACCTTCCAAGTTCATGGAGGTAAAAAGGACGTTGTATTTCTAGCAACATGGTTAGCAATGAATTTGAGGATCACTTCAAATTATTAGCTGGCCTCAGTCATCAGTTGGCCCAAACTCCTTAGGACATGAAATCAGCCCTCCTCTTCCCTTGTCAGGGCATCTGCAGAAGTCAGCTGCACCATCGACAGTCAGCCCAATCTCTGTTAGTCACTGGGCAGAGTCTCACATTCAATTCTATTTAGAGATAGCATCCTCCAAGAATGGATGAACAGTGGGGCCAGGGGCTAATTTTATAACCTCCGGGATATATTTGTTTGCTACAAATATCATACCTTGGAAACCAATCATAGCGGAGTTCATTAGAGACCTTAATCAGATGGTCAGTGGCGTTCAGATCTCTGTGCTTGCCGACCTCAACTCCCCGCTCCAGGGGGCCCAGGCCTGGACTCCTGTGGTTCAGGACGGGTCAGTCCCTGGAGCATTTATGGAGAGCCTGCATCGGGTAGGCCTGCTCCCTTTCCTTCTGCCTCTTCTCCCATCAATCAATTTTTCAGCCTTCTTTCTAAACTGAGATCAGAAATCACCCTTCTCTGGGATGTTTTCACTGATGACATCTGACCTCAATAGTCCATACCCAATCTGCCCAAACATTTATAGGGTCTGCTTTCCTTGTTTTGTGTTAATTCCCTTTTGTCACATGTTTGGTATGTGTTCTTTCCTGCCCCCACAACTGGGTCCTAAGTGCCTTGACCTCACCCACCCAGATGTTCAAGTGTTCTTTTAATGTGTGCTTCTCCGAATCCCAGCCTTTACAGAATCCTGCGGAAAGGAGGCCCTCTACCTGCGCTACTTCAATCGTCCCCTCTCCTGGTGTGGGAACTGTCTCAGCAGCGGCCCTGCCCAGCCTCCCTTGGGTGTATGGCAACTCATCTGAACCTCTTCAGCACACCCTTAAATTCTTTTTTTCCTTTTTCAAAGAGATCAATAAGAAGTGGAGTTTCATTTCTAGATGCAAAGACAGTGTTGCTGGTGTTGACATTGTGGGTGTTTCTTCCTCATTCTGCCCCTCTAATCAATAAAATCTTTTTCCCTATTAAGAAAAGCTTTCTGGGCGCCTGGGTGGCTCAGTTGGTTGAGCGACTGCCTTTGGCTCAGGTCATGATCCTGGAGTCCCAGGATCGAGTCCCGCATCGGGCTCCCTGCTCAGCGGGGAGCCTGCTTCTCCCTCTGACCCTCCCCCCTCTCATGTGCATGCTCTCTCTCATTCTCTCTGTCTCAAATAAATAAATAAAATAAAAGAAAAAGAAAAAAAAAGAAAAGCTTTCTAAGTAGATGTGTTAGTCCGTTCCAGCTGCCATAACAAAATGCCACAAACTGGGTGGCTCATAAACAACCGAACTTCCTTTCGCTCAGTTTCGGAGGCTAGAAGTCCAATACCAGGGTGCCAGCACAGTGGGTGAGGGCTCTCTTCGGGGTTGAAGAGGTCACATGCGTTGTATTCTCACAAAGCAAAAGGGGCTAAGGAGCTCCGTGGGGTCTTTTGGACAAAAGCATTAATCCCACACGTGAGAGCACCACCCTCCCCATCTAATCACACCCAAAGACCTCACCTCTTAATGCCACCACCTTGGGGGTTAGGATTTCAACACAGGAATTTAAGGGGGCACAGACATTCAAATCGTAGCGGGAGAGGAACCACAATGAGAGCCAAGAGGTGGAGGGACACATACAGCAGCAGAACTGCACAGCCTCAGAAACCCAAACCAGAACTGTGGCTTCAGATCATCTTGGGAAAGAGGAGTCTGGGAAGATGAAAGCGGCCCCTGCTCTCGGTACCAGGGCTAGAAGAGTCGTTGGCAGCCAGCAGGTGGAGCCCAGGTAACAAATCCTCTCCGAGACCTGAAGGCTCCTCCTCTGGGGTTTGAATTTGGCGAGGCGTGCTCCTAGGGCGTCCATTGTTTGAGATATTTGTTTAGCTGCCGTGAGCAAATTTCTTTTCATTTCATGTCTTAATTGGGAAAATTAAGGGTGGGTGGGTGAGGTCAAGGCACTTAGGACTGTTGGGAAAAGTATATTGGATATGTTCTCGTTATCAGTTTTAAAATATGTTTTGTTTTTTTTTTAAGATTTTATTTATTTATTTGAGACAGAGAGAATGAGAGACAGAGAGCATGAGAGGGAGGAGGGTCAGAGGGAGAAGCAGACTCCCCGCCGAGCAGGGAGCCCGATGCGGGACTTGATCCCAGGACTCCAGGATCATGACCTGAGCCGAAGGCAGTCGCTTAACCAACTGAGCCACCCAGGCACCCCTAAAACATGTTAAGTTAGTTCTCTGAGGTTTTGTAGGAGGAGGGTAGCTACAAACGATGACTAATTTTATCCTCCTTTCCAACAGTAATAGCCCTTATTTTTGTCAGCTGTTTTATTCCACCGATGAGAACCTCTAGGGCCGTGTCAGATGAAGGGAATGACAGGAAATGACAGGCTTGTGGACACTTTTACTCCGTTCATGATTCAATAAAACTGCGTCTAGGACCTTACCGATAAGTATCATGCCATCAGCTGATTTGAGATAAGCTGTTCTTCATCCAGTTAAGAAAGTGCCCTTTTATTCCTAATGAGCTTAAAACCAACTAACAAACAACAAACCAGAAAAGAATATTGCATTTTATTGGGTTGAATTTGGGGAGATTTTTTCCCCCTGGAATCACAGATTGTGATGCTAGTTGGTATTTACCGGGGCTCTGTCAGCTTTCGTGCCTAAGAAACAGGGAATTCAAAGGTTGAATGATGGTGAGCTTTCTGAGTGACCTACTTACAGTGCTGAGGGAAGAGCAGCATTGCTCAGCAAGAGACAGCCCTGAAAAGGGGCAGCATGCAGGGTTAGGCAAGAGGAAACGAAGATGCGGTGGTCGCCATTTTATTTAAAACTTTTAAGGAAGTTGTCTGTTGCCAAACATTAAAGAGCTCAAAGAGTCATTTCACGGTAAGATTGCCAAACAGAACTCTACTACAGCTGATGAGAAAATTTTTTCACAATTTTCTATGGAGAAAGACTTTCCTGCTTTCTCTACTAATATCTCCACTCATTCATACTGATCCTGGAAGTTCTTCTTGACATCTGAACTGAATCTTTCTTGTTGAGCGAGATACAGGCCTACTTATTCTCCTATGCCTTGTTCAAAAATAAAAAAAAAAAAAAAGTCCTTCCCCTACAAAATAAGTGCAAGAATTTCTAGAGAATCGCATCCCATTAAAAACCTAGAATTCACATGGCCACCTGAGTGTATTCCACCAGCTCGGAGTCGTCAGGGCTCGCAAAAGTCCAGAAATTGGGCTTGTGACTTTTTGGATTGACATTCACATAATCTGTGGTTTCCTTTATGTTCTCATAGTCCAGGGCAGATTTATTTTTTAGTTCTCCGGGGGTGGAAAAGACCACTTGTGTGTAATTCATATCCTGGGTGGCCTTGGGTGGGGGGGAAGGAGAGAAATATGGGTCAAGGTTCCTACCAGGGTTGGAGGAGGGGGGACCCCAGGACGAAACTCTCACTCTAGGAGGCTTGGCTCCCCTTAGGCTGGAAGGGAAAGAAGCTGGCTCTCAGGCACCTGGGTTGGAGAGCAGGGAAGGGGGAAATGGGGAAGACTGCCCACGGCTCGTGCCTCCTGTCTGTAGGGAATTAATGGGTTTAAGGAAAGATGTGGAGACTGAATCCCAGTGAGGTCAGGACTCAAAGCAGACTTTGACCCAGTGACTGGGGTATGGGAAGAAGGAGGTGACCCATTGGCACTTGCCTTTTTACAGCTACTCAGACCCCCTTTTGGGTGGATGACCCACATTGCCGTGAGCCTGCCCCTCTTCCCCCCCATCACCTAAGGATGCTGTAAAGGTTCAAGAAGCCCCGCCTTCCCTGCTCCCATCTCTGTAGCTGGGGTGGCCTGGGTGGTGCTCAGTCTTGTACAGCAAGGACCCCAACTGCATACGAAAGGCTGGGATCACTAGGGGTGTCCGTTACCTGGCAGGCTGGAGACGAGCTGTCTGAGCTGTCCGAGCTATCTGAGGATGTATCGCTGTCGTCTAGGGAGAAATAGAAACTGTTCTTCTATGGAAAGCCAGGGGGTGTTAGGAGGGGATGGACACAACGGAAGGGAGAAGAAGACAAAGACAAGCAGAACCAGCCTCACAAAGCCAAGAGGGGAAGAGAGATACAGAGCCCCCCAAAAAAGAAAGAAGGAATTGAACAAAGAAAGGGTGGGGGAGAAAGGGCCCCCCCAAATAGGCAGGAATGCGCCCAAGAGTTCAGGCACCACTGCTCTGTCCAGCTCCATCTAAAACCAATAGCCAACACCCCAGGGCTGGGCTGTGGTGGGAGGGGCAAGCAGGGACAGGCTGACACAGAGCGGCCCCAGGCAAACAGCTGGGCCTCTGCAGTCCCGGGCACAGGTTTTGTTCTAGACCCATCACTAACTCTAGGCAGGTGACATCCCTTTTTGTGTCTGGTTTTGCTCCCTGTGAAGCAAGAGGGTTGGATGATGATCTCTGAGGTCCCTGCCAACCAGAGTCTCGGATTCTCTGGCCGGGCTCCGGTGAAGCTCTAGGGCCAGGGTCCCCACGAGGCCAGCACCCCTCACTGAATTCACGTGAGTGCTCTCTTCTGGTTCTCACATGCACCGAGCTCTTATCTCAGTGCCGGGGAAGACTGACCACCAGATCCCTCCAACTGAAAAGATAAAATTAGAAGGTTGGAGCGAATGCAAAGCAATCAAGAGATTAGCCATGGGAAACAGTGTGAGTAGACGGAAACGGAGTGAGTAGACTGGGGGAGTTGTCTTGCTGTGGAAGCAGCCATTTCCACTGTGTGAACGGCGGCCTGGTGTGTCTCCCCAGCTCTGAGAGAGAAAACAAGAGGGTAGTGTTCCTGTTGGTTCACTCGCCAGAAGGGGGATGGGGATTTGAATCATCACCAAGACTCGTATTTATTAAAACCCCCAGATCCCATGGCCAGAGGCAGGCAGAGGCCGTTGACATCTCGGCTGCCCCACTAACGGGCCAGGTGGAAGAACAGGAGCCATAGTATTACAAAGACAGGAACAGAGACAGCCCAAGCCCCCTCTGCAGTGGCTCCCACTGGACCAAACCTGGAAAAGAATTTAGACCCACACAAACTGAGCAAGATGGGCCCCATGTGACAGGAAGAGCAGCTTTCTGAAAAAGGCAGGCTGACCAGGCCTTCCCTGAGGTGCGTGCAAGAAATCCTCCAGCCGGGGGTTGGGCAGGTGAGGACAGAGCTGGGCTGCGGCAGGGCGGCTCCCCGGGGGCCCAGACGGAGCAGAAGAAGCTTTAGGACAAGACTGCCCCCCGCCCCCCTGTGCCCCATTACTCACGCTTATGATGGGGCTTAGACGCAGGAATGCTTGGAGTCTCCTCCTTGACAGCAAGTGGCTGATGGTGGGCAGGGCTGGGCCTTGGGGCCTGGAGCCTGGCTCCTTTCAGTATCCGCTCACTCTCCTTGGCTAAAGGGGACAGGGCAAGGGTCAAAAGTGGCAGCTCTCCAGGTCAGGCACATCCTGTCTCTGAGCACTGCCCTCGATAGGGCAAAATATTCAGAGGGACCTCTTCAAGCCTCAGCTCCCCACTCAAAACCCGGCAGCACCCCTCGCCTGGCTTGGAGTACAAGCTGAAATCCCAGCCTCCAAAGGGCCTCCATGGCCTCACTGTTCCTCCTTCTCTCAGTTCCAGCCACTTTGGCCTCTCCGCTCCTGCTGTTCTCTACCGAATACCCTTCTGCCTCAGGGCCTTTGCAAATGCAGCTCACTTCCTCACTTCCAGAGGTTTATACTCAAATGTCAGCATGTCAGTGATGCTGGCCATCATCCAGTTCCTCTCTCCTTGCCTTGCTTCATCTTCTTCCCTGGCGTTCACCATAATCTAACACACGTGTATATTACTTGTTTATCTAGTTTGTTGTCTGTGCCCCCCAAGGAATGTAAGTTAGAGAAGGACAGGGAATTTTGTTTTGTTCCCTGTTGTATTGAATGAATGAATGAATGAATGAATGAATGAATGAATGAATGAATGAATGAATGCTCGAGAAGCCTTTCATTATTTACTTCCTTTACTTCTTTATTTTAGACTTCCTTTATTTTACTTTCCCTAATTATAATGCCATCCCAGAACAGAACTTCTCTATTTTCCATTGTGAATCAGTTCAAGAGTTTAAGCTAATCTCTTAGTATCCCTCCGTTGGAACTCAAAGCCATTTCTTCACATTGAGTCCTTCGGTGGTGATGAAGAAAATTAGTTAGACCCAGGCTAAATGAGCCCACCCTCATGAGCATTGCAAGAGCTAGTCTTAGGTAGAAGGTCTGGACGGTGGAAGGACTCTGGGCTGTCATTCCCAACCAGAAATAAGTTGGGTCAGAGTGGGGATTACCCAGTAAGGGGTGATCTGGCCAGTGATCCTCAAGTAGGTATTCTGGGGTACTCTGGGGCTCGTCTTGCTGTAGGCTCGGGGATGGTCCCTGCAAGTGGCTAGGAGGGAAGAGAATGCCAGGCCATTTACCCATGTGCCTGCTGAGCAGGTAGCTGATGGCAGCAAAGAGACAGGCCTGTAGGATGAGCGACACCACTGCAATCACTAATCCATGCCAGAGCTTCATGCTTCTGTTGGGAAAGGAGAAGGGTCGGAGTTAGAGGTTGCAGAGATTCCAATACAGCTGCACGCCCGTCCCGGCCCCCCAGCCAGAGACAGCCATCCAGTGTTGCTGTGTGTCTCAGGGCTGGTCCCTTTGCCTCTCTGGACGGTCAGACACGGGGAGCCAGGGAGGGTGGTGTGTGTGCTTGGAAGCCAGCAACACCCATCAGCCTGATTGGAACCCCACTCACTCTGTCAGCATGATGAGCTTGCAGGGTGGCGGCGGGGCGTCAGAGAGCCTCAGGCTTTTCCAGGGGCAGAAGGAAGAGAGGTGGGGGGCACCACGCTGGGCACCTGGTCTGCACACAGTGCGACCACCGTCCGGGAGAACTGCAGGAGGCAAGGTGGCTGCTCAGGACTCTGGGGCTCTACACCCCAGTTCCCCTTGGGCAAACTCGGCTGCTCTGGGGTCACTGGCTTTCCTGTCCCCAGACTTCAGTTTCTGAATCTATAAAATAGGCAGTAAGTAGTCGTTAGATATTAGCACCTGACAGCAGCGCTGGGGGGGGGGGGGGGAGGGCACTCACTCGATGCAGGCCTCAGCTCTAGCCCCATCCTACCTCGTTCACGCGGCCCCATGGCTGAGATGTCACGAGCCCTCCTTTAATAACGAGCCTATGAGATTGCGACAGCAGAGGGACACGTCTGAAGTCACACAGCTGGCAAGTGGCTCGGCCTGGGTTTGGGCTCTAAACCCAAGGCTACAGTTTCAACCCCTGGTCTCAGCTCCCGGAGAGTCCACTGCAGGAAGTGCCAAGTGTTCCAGTCGAGCAAATACAGTGGCAGAGAGTCATGAAAGAAATCCAGATCTTAAATACACATACCAGGCGTGGTTTCATGGGGTTTTAGGACCAAGGTGCTGGATGCTGTTATACCCATGAATACGTTGATTTTAAAAATCAGCTTATGCATTTCATCAGCATGTTGCTGAATATGGAGTTTACTACAAGACAAAGGCAGGATATTTTCAAAGTTTTGGGGTTTTTTTTAGATTTTATTTATTTATTTGACAGAGAGAGACACAGTGCGAGAGAGGAACACAAGCAGGGGGAGCGGGAGAGGGAGAAGCAGGCTTCCCGCGGAGCAGGGAGCCTGATGCAGGGCTCGATCCCACGTGGGACTCCATCCCAGGACTCTGAGATCAGGACCCGAGCCGAACGAAGGCAGACGCTTAACGACTGAGCCACCCAGGCGCCCCAATTTCAAAGCTTTTGAAAGGATACTTACTTACTCGGCACTGAGATGGGGACACAACAACCTACTTTCCTGCTGCAGGCCGTAAACCTTTAATAGACTTTTACTGCCGTTGGGGCTTATTTTCCCCATCAGCATTTCCAAGTGCTAAGGACGGTGTGGAAAGTCCTGAAAACTTTTGTTTTTATTGTGGTTTTCACACAGGGGCTTTCTAAGATCAGAACTTGGACCAAGAGTTGAGAGAGAGAGAAGGCAGTGATGGGCAGGAAGATGTGTGGGGTTTGCCACCAAAGCCTCTCCAGGGCTGTGGGCATTGGCCAGTTGGAAGTTTCCAGAGAGAAAACACCACCATCTCTTTTCACACACCTACAAAGCTAGCCTTTAGCAGTGACTTTAGAAGATCAAAAGTTGGAAGCAACACATAGCCAACTTATTCACGTCCTTAACCCACCCCCTTTCCTATATAATAAGTTCTAGCTACTTCTCCCGCTACCTTTTGCTTTTCTAGCTGAATGTGTCGGGTTGCCTCATGAACATCAGGTGCTGGTAAGAAGGGGTTACAGGGGAGCAGGAGGTAGACATAACCCCGACAGGGTGAGAAAGGACTCCAGGAAGTTCCCAACGTCCACAGACAAGCGGGTAGAAAATCCAGTATTCACCCCCCTCTGTCCCCCCACCCCACCACGGGGATCAGCAAACTCCAGAAAGAAAGCTCAGTCAAAAATGACTTGTGCACAAAATAAAATTTGCAGAGCTGGAAATAAAACACAAAAATGATGGAGCTGAAGCAAAACGGGGATTTTTCAGGAAAAAAACAATGATCTTGAAGGACTGGGCAACTTGATTGAAAAAAGGCATAGATAATAGTTTTAATGCCTTGCCCTTGCCTTATTTTGGATAAACCCTCTTAAAATTTCGACAGGTACTGATTTCTCAAGCAATTTCCAGTATTGATTTCCAGGGCAGCTGTAAAATGGCGATTGGCCTTTACCAGGAGAGCTTTATTGAATCACAAAAGACATGAAAATGGGACTAGAAGCGAGGCCAGTGTGTCTGGGAAACCAAGTGTTGTTCCAGTTTTAAAGGCGCTCTAGTGCTTTAGTATTGATTACCTCATCTTCGGTGTCTCATTTGTCCTTAATCACAGAAATTATTCTCCTTCTTTCATCAAAGGGGATGGACAGAAAGCCACTAAGGGCTGTGTTCTGAAACCACACTCAAATTTTAATTTTTTAAGGCTCCTCTCTCTCCTTATTTATTAAAAATTAAACAACCAACAGACATTTGTGGTGGAATTTAAAATGCAAATAAGCAAAACATTTCACAAAACCACCCGCATTTTATTCTGTAGCATTTTCTACATATTTTCATAACTATAGGTACTCTGTATATGTGTGCGTGTAAATGTATGTTTACACTTATACAATCTTTTCTAAACACGGCATCCTACTGATTAGCAGCTTTTCCTCTTTGCTAACTATATCATAAACATGTTTCCAGATCAGAAAAGCCTCCATTAAAAAGCTCCAAACGGGAGGCCCACAGGCCACATAATTCGGCGCCAAGGTGATTTTGTTTGATGAGGTGCTTTCTCAAGACTGGGATTTCAATGCCCTGAGATTCTTCAGTCCCTGACTGACCCCGGAAGCCATTTGAGTTTGCTATCCTTGAGTTTTACAGCATCATTGTGAATTACTGCTATTCCTTTATCAGTGTTTCTGAGCACTTTCTGAGATCTAGCGCCAACAGATCTTTCGGTGTTGTCTAAAACTGTTTTGCACTGTGCTGGACATTCAGCATCCCGGGAGACCACCATCATAACAGGTCAATGTGACAACCAAAATGACCAAAAATGGCCCCACACATTTCCAAATGCCCCACTCCGAGGCAGCAACTCTTGCCCCCAGTTGAGAATCACTGCATTAAATCAGTGTTCCATTGTTTTAAAACCAATGTCTTATTTTGGCTCTTTATACAAAACTATAATGCCTATACTTTCTTCCATCGTTTTAACATATTATGAACATCTTACTAGCCAAATGACACACAGCACCTGGGCCAGGATATAGACTAGACTCCAACAGACATCAGTAAGAATCCAAGTTCTGTCCCCTTCTAAGTGGGAATTATTAAACTTCTCAGGACCTCGGCTTCTGGACCGGAAGGTGGGGAGAATGATGGCACCTGCCTGTTGGCATTCTCGTGCGGGCTCAAGGCCCTGTGCTGCTCCTAAAGACCAGTGTACAACGTTCGGCATGTGGGAAGCACTCAGTGATTACGGATGGGCCCCTACGGCAGTGTGACTTAATGAGTTCTCGCCATGACAAGCATACCCATTCAGTAGAACTGGACTTGGAACCTTGAATTTGGATCTGTTCGTGGGCTGGCCATAAGCCATGCAGTACCCTGTCTGATGCTGGACAGCTCCCAGTCAGCTATGCGACCACGAGAGTCCACAATCTATACACTCACAACCCTTCTGTACCCCTACAAGCATTCTGTTCCTCACTTCCAGTGCAGGGTTCAATAAGCTACGTGAGATACTCAACACTTTGTTATACAATAGGCTCTGTGTCAGATGATCTTTGCCCAACCGTAGGCTAACGTAAGTGTTCTGAGTAAATGCGTTTCTGACTTAGGATATTTTCAGTTTACGATGGGATTATGGGGCCCTAACCCTGTTGTAAATGGAGGAAGATGTGAAATGCTTCACCAAGATGGCGCCTAGAGGAGAGCTATTAAAATCGAGTTGGTCTGTTTTAGGGAACTCAGACATTCATGTTGAGTATAGTTTGTAGATAAGATCCGGGACAGGATGAGGTATGAAAATGATGACAGATGTCATTATTTAAGTGGCTAATGGCCCCTAACCGCAATGAACAGGTTGTTCCTTGGGGTCTAATTGCAGATTGCTGATCAGACAGTGGGCAAAAACATCTGCTCATTTGCACCTCCCCCCACACACATACCAAATAACAAGGAAATGAGCAAATTAGGGTAATTAGGTTCTGAAAAAACTGCCTGGACCATGAGACAGTTTGCCACTGGCTCATTCCGTCATCAAGACTTGGACTATCCTGCCATCTTTTGCGTGCTGAGTTTTGACACCGAAACCAACACTAATGTAGCTCTCTGCCAGGGACCTGCCAACCCTACTCCCGCAGAGTGCTGGGAGCATTTGCTCTGTTCGCTTCAAGCCTGCGTGGAAATCCCAAGACCTCCAGTTAGGCCCGGATCCCATCATATTGCTTCCCCCCCACCTTTTTTTTTTTTTTTTTTTAAGATTTTACTTATTTATTTGACAGAGAGAGAGCACAAGCAGGGGGAGCAGCAGAGGGAGAGGGAGAAGCAGGCTCCCCGCTGATCAGGGAGCCCAACACAGGGCTCGATCCCAGGACCCTAGGATTGTGACCTGAGCCGAAGGCAGATGCTTCACCAACTGAGCCACCCAGGTGTCCCTTGCTTCCCCTTTCTAATGATAGAGGAGTTTTCATGGGGCCTTTGTAGTCCATACAGCCCAACATTGAGGTGAAATAATAAAGACACACCTCGTTCCTGCCTGACATGCTTTCTTTGGAGAGCGTCATCCTATGAAGAGTGGTTTAGAACATGAGCACAATCAAAGATCATTTATATGAAAACCATATGGATTATAATAATCAATAATTGCTATCAATACTGTTAAGGCTTTATCAATTTTTTTTTTGACAGAGAGAGAGAGAATACAAGCAGAGGGAGCAGCAGAGGGAGGAGAAGCAGGCCCCCCATTGAGCAGGGAGCCCAACGCAGGACTCATCCCAGGATCCTGGGATCATGACCTGAGCTGAAGGCAGATGCTTAACTGACTGAGCCACCCAGTCATCCCTTAAAAAGATTTTTTTTTGCAATCTTCATTAATTTATTGTTTTTAAAATTAAAATTTTGAGCGATAACACAGCTGAATGATGTAGAAGGAGAACAAGTCAAGGAGATGAGAGCATGGCTTCTCCTCCCAGCCCTACCACTTCC